AAAAAAAAAAAAAAAAAAAAAAAAAATGGGGATAATAGTGGCTATTTCATAGCTCAGAACAATGCCTGGAACATGGTAAACAATTAAATGTTAGATATGGTTATCATTAATATGTTTCATTCTTCTTAGGTATGCTCTAAAAAATGTGTATATTAGTTTGCATCATTGCCATACCAACTGAATCCCTTAGGTAGTGATATGGTCAAGAAGAAATATAATGTCATCTCTCTTCAGGAGATCATCACACATATCCAGGTCTGCATTTTTATTATTTGTTTACTCGTTTTACATTTAAGTCACTCTTTCTTGAGAGCCCTGCAGTTAACTTCTGGTGTTTGCTTATACTGCTGCGAAAGGTGAAACTTACTCAAAGTGGAGTCAGAATAACAGGTTTACCAGGAGAAATAAATATGAAAAATGATTTTAAACAAAAAATCAAATAGCTCTTTAAAAAGCAGTCTAAGCTAAAGTGCTTTTAAGGAAATTATTGATAACTATAGGAAAAATGAAAACCCAATTTTCTGAGGCACAGAAAAACTAATAAATACTTGAAGTATTTATTAAACATTATGGATATTTAACAGGGTGTTTATCAATTTTCAAAGGTATTTTATTCTATCAATAATAGAGTGGAATCCTAAGTTCTCATTATCTCTTGGCTGGATTCCTGCGATTGCTTCCTAACTCTCTCTGACGCTCTGCCCTTATCCACTTTTAGTCAATTCACCGTTCTGTAGTTAGTGTCAGACTGTCATACTTCTCTGCTCAAAACCCTCTACTGATTTCCCATTTCACCTAGAGTAAAAATTCAGTCTTTAATTGGCCTTTGAGAGTCCAACATGATCTCTTCTCTTCCCCAACTCATCTCTTACCATTTTATCCCTCACTTACTCTGCTCTCGCCAAACAGGCCTGCTTGGTGTTTGGGGATTAAACCAAGTAGGTTCCTGCCTTGGGGATTGTACACTTCCTATTCCCCTGGGGAAATGCCCTCTCCCTAGATAACTGTAGGGCTCACTCTAGCCTTTCCTCAGGACACTGTCTAAATGTGACCTTCTCAGAGAGGCCTTCCCTGACCACCCTGTATAACACAGCACATCCCACATGCCTGCCATCACTCTGTCTCCCTTACCCTGCTTTCTTCATTGCACTTACCACCGTCTGACACAGCTGTTTCTGTCTGCCCACATTAGAATGTTAGCTCTAGAAGAGCTTTTCTGCCTTGTCCAATATTGTTTCCCTACAACTAGAATAGCACCTGGTTTGCTGAATGAATTTTAAAAATGAACACTTGAATGGATTCTTACCCCAGTTGACTACTGACTTCTCATAAACACAGGAGAAACATAATTCTCTTAGTCTTCCAAACTTCCTTAGGAAAATTAAGAATGGTTCTAAAATAAGGTATTTCTAAGTATTAAAGGTCAATGAAATGCTGAATACAACAATGTCCCATAGCCATGAGTATGTGCCTGGGGGTTCCTGCCTCCCAACCTTCCTTAAGGGCTTCTTCTGTCTCCTGTGCCTCGCTGGTGGTGCCTCCTGGTGGCCGACACACAGATCACACTTACCCAGCCTCCTCCCTCGCAGCCTCCTTTCCACTGCTTACAGTAGCTAGTCTTTCTGTCTGGGAGCACAGCTAGTTTCACCCAGGCAAACGTTTTCTCTCGGGTACCTCCTCTTTAACCTCTTTCTCCTCTTTTTGTTTTTAACCAGTTATCTCTGAAATACTCCTCTCTTCTTTGTTTCCTATTTGTGAACCAAAAAGCCACTAATTTTGATTGGTTGGCAGAAAATTAATACTTGTGATAGTCCTCTTCCAAGGAAAATGGAAGATACAGTTTTTTAAAGTTATATAGGAAATAATATATATATATATATATATTAAAAGTTATATGTGAAATAATAAATCTTCAGAAGATTTGTAGTGGTTTTTGTCTACTTCCCTATTATCCTTTAATTAACCTGTTTTTGTTAAAGACAGTCAAGTTGAATTAATGTTCTTATTCAATTTTGTTTCATTTCTAACATTACAGATATAATTCTGTTTTTCACTGGAAATATTTATACATAAAATATGAACATTGAAACCAGGAAAGGGGTGGGGAAGACAACTACAGACTCATTTTGGAACAACCCTGATTACCCAGACATAATTAATAGCAAGTTTTCTATAGAAAGAAGGAAGCTTGAGGTCCCAAGTACCTTGAGAGCAATTTTTAAAGTACAAGCTATTTTTCAGTGGGACATTTCTCATGCTATTGTTTTATATGCCTATATTTGATAAGTTAAAAATTAGTTTCCTTTTATAAATATAATCCACAATTCCTGAAAGTGTGTTTTTAAAAATGCTAGTCCCTCGATATGCTACTTGAGAGTTTAAGTGCAGTTATCAAATAACTTTGGTGCATATGGTATACTGTCTACCACTCCTGAAGGTTTATCATATACATCCGCAACAAATTCACATCAACAACAAATGTATGTATCTAATTTTGTTTAACCATTATTTTGCAAACATATAACTACTAAACCCCTTTCTTGTGTAAGTCTTGTTAGTAGCTCATGGAAGAAACTTTGAGAAACAAGTGATTATTTACTCATTCAGAGAAAAAAGGACTAGTGATATTAACTACAGTACTATTTGTTGAAGGCTCCTATCTACCAGGCATTATTCTCAGAGTTCTCAGAATTTTATGTAAGGCATCTTATTTAAATCTAACATGAACCTAATAAATACAAGTACTGTGGCCACCCCTTTCTTAGAGATGAGGAAACTGAGGTTGAGATAAGTAAATGACGTGCTTAAATTCACATGGCCTGTGGAATAAGCATGTGAATCTTGGTAATCTGTTTACAAATTCCGTATGCAATCTGGTCTCCATGGCACTTAATGGTATGAAAAAATGTGACAGATGTCATTTGTGAGTGTTCAGCTAATAAAAGAATGAGCTATTTAAAAATATTTTGTTATTTTTGTTACATAGATATTGCTGGAATTCCTCTGCCTCAGAACCTGAGTGGATACTCATTGTTGCCATTATCATCAGAAACATTTAAGAATGAACATGAAGTCAAAAACCTACATCCACCCTGGATTCTGAGTGAATTCCATGGGTGTAATGTGAATGCTTCCACTTACATGCTTCGAACTAACCACTGGAAGTATATAGCCTACTCGGATGGCACTTCAGTATTGCCTCAACTCTTTGGTAAATCTGTTAATATGTTTTAAGTGTAATATTATGTGTAATGAACTGCCCTATGTAACATTGCTCAAGATATCCAATAATCCTTGTTAAATAAATAAATATCTGCTACTTCTCATGCTGGGACAATCTACAAAAGTTTGCCGTGTGAGGAACAGCTTCTTTGCAGATCAGCAGCTGAATCTCAGAAAGTGTCCTTAGGCTTTTGATCTGCATCTCATGACTGAAACCAGTTTTCCCTGATAAGGGTATCTTCCAGTACTCATGACTATTTTTCCCAACATTGTGCCTCATTATTCTGAAGGATTAACACCTATCTTATGAAGCCTGACATTTTACATGTATTATTTAATATTCACCACAACCCCACAAGATAGTACCATTATCCTCATTTTACAGAGGAGACTATGAGTCAGAGAGATTTGGATACCTGTGTGAGGTCACACAGCTAAGAAGTAGCAGAACTGAGATTTCAACAAAGGTGTGACTGCAAAAGTGATGGTTCTTACACCTTATAAAAATGTCTGCCTGCTTCACTACTGTATGAATTAATTTTTAAACAGCATTATTAGAGTTAGGGTTTTACATATTCTTTGTCCCCATTTAGTACATAAAATATGTGCTAAAGCTATTAGTAATATTCATTTCTCCCTAAGGCGCTTTCTCAGTTACAAATAGCAAAATTATTATTAAAATAATGCTTTAGAGGCCAAACTAGCCAACCCCCTTCACTTTAAGAGTGGAAGATTCTTGGCTTGAAAACGAAGTCTTGCTGGGCACGGTGGCTCACGCCTGTAATCCCAGCACTTTGGGAGGCTGAGGCAGGCGGATCACCTGGGGTCAGGAGTTCGAGAGCAGCCTGACCAACATGGTGAAACCCTGTCTCTATTTAAAAAATAAAAAAAGAAAAAAGAATAAAAAAGGAAAGGAAGTCTTTACATTTTCATCCTGATAAGTAATGGGCATTTCTTGCCTGTTCATTGGCCATTGTCAAATGAAATTTATGGGAGGCCATTGTTTTGAACTGAGTTCCTATACCAGAGCCAACAGACCAGATCAAACCAGAATGGGGTCACTGGCACTAGGTGCCCCATAACCAAACTGAGCTTTACAACAGTCCACTTAAAAAAACAAAACAAAAAAAAAAAATCACAATAACAAATCAAAAGGCCTCAGTTTACCTGAACCAGCATAAGAGAGTCCCCTCTGTTTTTACTCGATAAAGAAGTACGACTATAATAATGAATCTGCTTTTTCTTCCATGTTTCTGGGGCTTTTTCATCAGCCATTTTCTGCCTATGAAGCCCCTCCTCCTCTGCTCAGCTCATCAGAATGCCTTTTCGGAATCTTTAGATGAGATGCTGCCCAATTCATGAATCACTAAATAAAAGCCAATTTGATCTTTAAATTTGTTGAAATTTTGTTTTTTATACCATATTCTACCAAAAAAACTGATGTGACCATCAAAATGTCAGAGGGAGAGTCAGCCTTTTCTGTATTTTTTAGGACTTATTGACTTCCCTTTCCTAAAGACTTCTGAAGTTACCTAGCAAAGTCACAAACCTGTGAAGGGGCCTCTTGGCTAATGTACTCAAACAGGCCCATAGAGGTTTTTCCCTCAACATGCAGTGTTCATTTACTATCTGAAGTTAATTGTCATTAGATCTGTGACTTGCTGTTTTTCCAATTAGATTGGTATCCTAGTTATATCCTGTCTTCCCACACCATATGTAAAAGGTATGTTTATAGATCTGAAATATTTATCAATATTTATCATTATTTTCTTGCTGACAGTGATTGAGAAGTTTTTATTTCCATGGCTGTTTGTTCAAATGGACAGTACTGATGCATGTAACTTTCAACACTCCAAGCATAAGATACTAATATATAAAGAAAACTGGGACTAAGTGAAGTTGCAAGAACATGACTTGTCTATATACAGAATTCGTAGAAAGTTTAAGGCTATTGAAATGGTACGGTATAGGCACTACTATATTCATTTCTGCCTGTCGAAGTAGGCAGGATGTCAAAAACAGGAAGAATTTGTTCTAAACCAGCTTACTAATGATAAACGTTTGACTTTTTCTGGCATCTAAGAATAGATAAGAAAAAAAAAAGTGGGATAGCTGGACAATCGTAGGAAGGAGGGAAATTTGGGCATACGATAGGGTGTTTAACTCCTGGTATGTTATTTTACCGTTTTTTCTGTCCATTTTATTACACTGAAAAATTTTTTTTAAATCAAATACATTACCTGTCATAATGACATTCTAAAAAAATTTTTACCAGGTCACTATTTTGACGGATATTTAATTTTTTTTTCTTTTAGATCTTTCCTCAGATCCAGATGAATTAACAAATGTTGCTGTAAAATTTCCAGAAATTACTTATTCTTTGGATCAGAAGCTTCGTTCCATTATCAACTACCCTAAAGTTTCTGCTTCTGTCCACCAGTATAATAAAGAGCAGTTTATCAAGTGGAAACAAAGTATAGGACAGAATTATTCAAATGTTATAGCAAACCTTAGATGGCATCAGGATTGGCAGAAAGAACCAAAGAAGTATGAAAGTGCAATCGACCAGTGGCTTAAAACCGATATGAATCTAAGAGCAGTTTGAACAAAAAGTTTAAAAATAATGTTCTGGAGCTACATATAAATATCATGATTATGAATTTTAAATGTAACAATTTTGGTACCAATTTTTCATCACTTTGAAAGCAGGTAGTATATTTTAATATAAAATGCCAATGATTATAAAATTACATATTTTCAAAAATGATTATTATTTAGACCTTTGTAGAGCTTCTAACAATTTAGTGGAAGTATCAAAAAGATTGAAGCAAATACTGTAAAAGTTATGTTTCATTAAATAATAGAGAATATAAAATATTTTATTAATAGTAATACGAATCATAAAATAGTTGTGTGGTGAGCATCTGATGGTGCTTGACGAGTTATTTATATTGGATGGGATAGTTTGGATGTATTTGATGGAAGTATTTGGAGTATTTAACAGGACATAAACTCTGGACTTACCTGATTTTATGACTGTTTTTTAAAATAGGTAATATATAAGCAGGGTAAAGCTTCAAATGGTACAAAAGGGTTAACAGTGAGCATGAAGTCTCTGACCTGTTCCTCTTCCCTGCCATGCAGCTCCCCCTCCAAGAAGCAAGTACTGAAACCACCTGCTTATGCATTATTTTAGAGATTGGCCACAAATTTATAAAAAAGTGTATATATTCCTTTCCCCCTTCACAAATGGTAATATACTGCACACATTGTTCTGCACGTTGCTTCTTTTTCCCTTTTTTTTCCACTTAACCATAGATACCTAGAGGTGAAATTACTGAGTCAAGACAATTTTTAGCAAAATTACACTAGATACTACAAACTACCTCTAAAGAAGGTATACTAACTGGTAATCTCCCCATCAATGCATGTCTTCTTATCCTTTGCCAACCTAATTGATGAAAATATTCTATTTTTATTTTTCTTATGAGTACGGTAGATCACATTTTCATGTATTTAACAGCCATTGGAATCTGCTTTACCACGACCTTTCCTATTTCTATTCTTTGCCTATTTTCTGTTGGTTGTTGGTCTTTCTTTTGTATTACAGGCATGCTTTAGGTATTAGCTCTTTGTAAGAGATTCTGCAAATATTTTCTTTCCAGTTTGTCATAGTCCTTTGTCTTTTGACTTTGTTCTGGTATTTTTTGATATGTAGAAACTGTATTTTCATGTAAACAGATTTACAAATCTTTGTACCCCATAAATATATACAATTATGATTTGTCATTTAAAAATAATATTAATAAAAAATTTGTAAATCTTTGCTTTGTGGCTTTTGGAATTTTGTATCGTATTTACAGTAGCACTCTCCACTTCTTTTAGAGTTTTATTTTTCATCTTCGGATCTTTGACTCAGCTGGAATGTATTAAACGTAGTAGAAATCTAACTTTAGGTGTTTTTCTAATGCCTTCCCATTGATCTTTAATTGAGCAAACTGTCTCTTGTCCCATTGGTAAAAATGTCACTTCATCATATAATACCTTTGGTTGGATACGTTCTTTTCCCCCATTGATTTGCAATGCCATTTTTATCTATACCAAAGTCCCATTTATACTTATGCCATTTCTGAACATTTTATTTTCCATTGGGCCATTCTATTTTTTGTTTCTGCTTTTCTTTTCTTTTTTTTTTTTTTGTTTTTTTTGTTTTTGAGACAGGGTCTTGCCCTGTCACCCAGGCTGGAGTGCAGTGGAACAATCACTGCTCACTGCTCTCCTCAATCTCACAGGCTCAGATGAGCCTCCCACCTCCGCCTCACTAGTAGCTGGGACCGCAGGCCCATGCCACAAAACCCAGCTAATTTTTAAAATTTTTATAGAAACAGGATTTCACCACGTTGCCCACTGGTCTTGAACTGAACTCAAGAAACCTGCCTGCCTCAGCCTCACAAAGTGCTGGGATTACAGGCATGAACCACCATACCCAGCCAGACCAGTCTATTTTGTTTATTAGCCTGGTAGACAGTATCTGGTAGGACTAGTCCCTTTGCAATAGTTTTCTTTTTTCAGAATTGTTCTTCCTAGCAACTCTTGATTTTTCCATACAAATTTAGAATAAGCTTGTCTAGTTACAAAAATGGAAAGTCCTGTTGGGCTTGTTAATGAAATCATTAAATGTATAACCTACTTTAGAAAGAATTTAATTTTTTATGATAGTCATTCTAAAGAATTAGTATGTTTTCCCCTTTATTCATGTCTTCTTTTATATCCCTTAATAGTAGTCTAAGTTTTCTTGATATAGATGAATTTCTCCGTAAAAATTTTTGAAAGTAGGGACTTTAAAAAATATCACCTAGGCCTAGCCCACACCAGTTGATCACAGCTTCTGAGAGAGCCTGGGCCTGCCATGCCATTATTGTTGTCTTGTTGGTCAGTCCCTCCGGCCATGATTCTAATGTGTAGCCAGTGGTGGGTTTATTCCCAGTTGTTTTCTCACTTATTGTAATTTTCAGTGAATCTTCCTTCCATTATATCCTCTTAGGGAAGATCTTGTTGCTTGTATGTGTACTCCATTTCTACATATTTATTTTGTGCTGAACCACTTTATTGTAATAGTTTTTCAAATGATATATTATTTTCCAAGTAATATCTTACCTGCAAATAATTTTACCTTTTACTTTCTCAAACTGTCTTTGAAGTTTCCTTCATGAGTTCATCTCCTTTATTTGTTTATTGTTCTTCAATGAATTTATATGAGCTTACCTTTGTAATTATTTATGAATTTCTGAGAAACAATTTTACTTTTGAGTATATCTGATTTTATTACATATGTATATACAAATATAAACACACACACACACAAACACACTTTCTGAAGTAAAACTCTTAAAAAGAAAGACTGAATATGAGATCAAGGTTAAAATTAAACTATCCAAATCCACCATCCATCTCCTAATTAAGTCTAAAGAACACAAGTAGCTAAAGTGTGTGTATATATGCTAATAATGGAGAGAAAAGCAATAGTAATAGAAATGTGGTCCTGAAAACAGGCTTGTGAAGATAAATCTATCTCATTCTACCCAAACCCTTTGAGATGCATTTATTGTAGGAATTTACCAAGTATCTACCATGTTTTAAGCATATTAAGTGTAGAATCATAATTAGGTACAATTGAATATTCAGGACAATATCTAATTCAGAATGGTATCTCACAATCACAAAAACAGAAAATTAAGAAAAACTTGAAAAATCAAGTTTTTGAAAAATCAATTATCTAATGCTGGAATCTGAGAGGAACTGACACTAATTAGAAGCTGAAATGAGAATTGGGCTTCCATTTTTACTACCTCCACTACTAAGTTCTTGTTCTAATCTACCATGATCTGTGCCTGGAATTTTGCAGTAGACTCCTAAGAGGTCTCCACGAATCTGTCCTTGGCTTTCTTCAGTCTATTCTCAACAGAAGCCAGAGTGATCCTGTCAAAATATCACAGATCACACCCCTGGATACTCAAAGCCCCCACTGGTTTCCCATCTTTTTCTGTAAAAGAAGCCAAAGTCATTACAATAACCTATGGGCCCCAAATAATCTGGTAGCATGTTCTCTCTAAGACTGCTTCTCCTCCCATACTCCTACCTGATTCACTGTGCTTCAGCCATGTGCCTCCCTGTTGCTTTCCAGACATACCAGGCATGCACCACCAAGACCTTTGCACTTGTCAATTTTTTTTCTGCCTGGAGTGCAGTTCTTCCTTCAGACTTTTTTCATGGCTCATTGTTATTTCCTTGAGGTCATGGCTCACCTTCTCACAAGGACTTTCCTGCTTTATTTTTTTCCATAGAAGTCATTACCATTTAATTTAGTGTGTGTTTTATATAATTAACGTTTTTGTGCTGTCTTGTACCCCTGCTGACCCTACTAGAATAAAAGCTTCAAACAGGCATGACATTTTGTCCCTTTTTTCTATAAAGTATCTCAAATGCCTAACACATAATAGAAGCTTAGTAAAGACTTGTTGAATTAATTTACTGGGCATTATAGTTTTTCAAATATCACATTGCTTTAGAAAACCAACATGTAGGCTATAGCAGGGTGGGGAGAAAAGGGAGTAGCCTTCTTTTTATTTATTTTTTTTTTTTTTTTGAGATGGAGTCTCACTCTGTCACCCGTGCTAGTGTGCAGTGGCTTGATCTCAGCTCACTGCAACCTCTGCCTTTTGGGTTCAAGCAATTCTCTTGCCTCAGCCTCCCAAATAGCTAGGACTACAGGCATAGCACCACCACACCCAGCTAATTTTTATATTTTTAATAGAGACAGGGTTTCACCATGTTAGCCAGGCTGGTCTTGAACTCCTGACCTCAGTCAATCTGCCCGCCTCGACCTCCCAAAGTGCTGGGATTACAGGCATGAACCACCACGCCTGGCCAAGGGAGTAGCCTTCTAGAAATAGTAAATCGTAGCACAAAAGAGCTAACAAATAGACTCTATTCCCCTTTGTTTTATTTTTTTTTAAATCGACACATAATTGTACCTATTTATGGACTACAGTGTATTTCCATACATTATATAATGTGTAATGATCAAATCAGGGTAATTAGCATATCAATTACCTCAAACATTGATCATTTATTTGTGTTGGGTACATTCAAAATCTGTTTTTCTAGCTATTTGAAAATATATAATAAATTATTAATTACAGTCACTCCATAGTACTATAGAACACTAGAATGTATTCGTCCTATCATGCCATACTTTTGTATTCATTAATCAGTCTTCAGTTATTCCTCTCTCCCCTTACCTGTCCACCTCTATTAACCACTATTTAACTCTCTACCTCCATGAGATCAACGCTTTTAAGCTTCTACATATGAATGAGAACATGCAGTATTTATCTTTCTGTGCCTGGCTCATTTCACTTAACATAATGTTCTTCAAGCTCATCTATGTTGCTGCAAATGATAGAATTTCATTCTTTTTATGGCTAAATAGTATTCCATCATGTATATGTATATATATATATATATATATACACACACACCACATTTGCTTTATCCATTCCTCTGCTGATGGACACGGGTTGATTCCATACCTTGGCTATTATGATTAGTGCTACAGTAAACATGGGGCGCATGTATCCCTTTGATATACTGATTTCTTTTCCTTTGGATACTTACCTAATAACGGAGTTGCTGGATCATATGATAGTGCTATTTTTAGTTTTTTGAGGAACCACTATACTGTTTTCCATAATAGCTGAACTAATTTACGTTCCCACTAATAGTGTATGAGTTCCCCTTTCTCTTCATCCTTTCTAGTATTTGTAATTTTTTGTTCTTTAGATAAAAACCATTCTAACTGGAGTGAGATTATACCTCATTGGGATTTTATCTTTTTGTATTACAGAAAGGCTAGATACTAAATATTTTAGGCTTTGTGAGCCATATGGTCTGTTTCACAACACTCATTCTGCTGTTGAAGTGTGAAAGCAGCAAGACGATATGTAAACAAATGAGCATGGCTACGTTCCATAGAATTTTGTTTACAAAAATGCAGGATATGACTTGTGGGCTATAGTTTTCTCAATGCTAGGTTAGAACAGCTTCCAACTTTGCTGCAAATTGGAATCACCTGAGGATGTTTTAAAAATATTATTGCCTGGCTCCTACCCTAAGTTACAGGAGTTTTAAAAGCTTCCCAGTCTGTAATCCCAGAGCTTTGGGAGGCCAAGGCAGGCAGATAGCCTGAGGTCAGGAGTTTGAGACCAGCCTGGCCAACATGGAGGAACCCTGTCTCTACTAAAAACACAAAAATTAGCCAGGCCTGGTGGCACATGCCTGTAATCCCAGCCACTCAAGAGACTGAGGCAGGACGCAGGAGGCAGAGTGAGCTGACATTATGCCACTGCACTCCAGCCTGGGTAACAGAGCGATACTCTGTCTCAAAAAAAAGATAAATAAAAATGCTTCCCAGGTGATTCTAAGGTACAGCAAAATCTGGGAAACAATGGTCTGGAGTCTTGTTATTCAAACTACCATCCTAAGAAAAGAAGCATTCACATCAACTAGGAGCCTTAGCTGTTTTGTTTTTTAATGGATTTGGTACCTGGTACTTAGGACCATCTTTCAAAGTAGTAGGGTCACTTTGTTGTCTCTTCTTTCTACTGCTTGTGGTGGTGGTTTTTCAATTTATTAGACCCAGGAGATCCTAGTAAAAACTACTAGAATAGATGAAATTTGTTAAATGGTTGCATATACAAAAATGAACAGGCAGTCGCGGTGGCTCACGCCTGTAATCCCAACACTTTGGGAGGCCCAGGCAGGTGGATCACCTGAGGTCAGGAGTTTGAGACCAGCCTGGCCAACATTGTGAAACCCC